AATATAAAAGAAATACTATTCTAAACTGAGCTTAAGAGTAGGGAAGAAGGGATTCTTTTTAGTGAAGGAAAAGTGTGCTATTTATAGGTGTTTTTCAACACCTTTGGCCGAGTACCCGACCGGGTAGAGTATCTACCCGACCGGGTACCGGTCCGAATCAAATATTTTCCACGTTCTAGTGTTCTTCAGCACGTCGGGTTGTCTTCAGTCAAGTCTCACCCGACCGGGTGAGGTATAGGGCCCGACCGGGCCAAGCAATTTCCTGGAGACTACAAATGTTAATTCAAACCCGACCGGGTGAAGGTTTCTACCCGGTCGGGTTTATACTTCTGGGCAGCATTCTCCTTGTTTTTCTTCCTTTCCTTGCCAACAATTCTACCAAAACTTCCTAACCCACAAATAAAAGCTAAAAACACTTACAAATAAAAAGTAAACAAATGTTTACAACTACACACAAATGGTAAACAATCCACACAAAATAAGATATAAAAATACACATTTATGCACTACTAACTAGTGCATATCATGTCATGTTATCTTATTTCATGTCTCAATTCGTCTCGTTTCTTTTGTTTCTTTTGATTAAATTTCTCTAGTTCTCATTCCGATACTACTCCGTAATACATTATTACGTGTGGAATATTATTTATGATGGAATAACTACTAATCCAAAATATAGTGTTGTTATAGATTTAATATTTTCCAAAATAACTAGTAGAAAATATATATGTAGTCCTTATAGTTATGATATTTAATGTGATATTGAAAAGTTACAAGTGTACTACAAAGTATAAAATATTTTGTGCTACTATTCTACAAGGGAAACATAAGATTAGGGGAACCAAAAAAGTTATAAGACAATAATTAAATATAGTTAATTAGAGGTTGTACTTAACTTTTTTAGAAAGAGAAGCTAAATTTTGAAAAATAGTTACATCTTTATTTTGATGTTATGCATATTTGTATATCACATTTCACAAATGTATATTTTATGGGACGTCCCGAACCGTCCCGGTTTTTCTCAAGTTGTCCCGATCTCGTTTTAAATGGGACAACATTGGGATAATGACTTATTCCGAAACGTACTGGACCGTTATTATAATACCGGGTCGGGATCGTGATAAGTCATGTCCCGAACCGTCCCGTCCCCCGCCCACCTCCACTTTCAACTACAATATGATCAAGCATTCCATTGATGCTCGTCCAGTCTCGGCGTGATGAAGAACTCAATATTATAAAAAAAAAGATTCATGGGAGGTGCTTGCTAGCAATGAATAATCCTCCCTTTTTATTAAAAAACTCATGCTGTTGTTTTGAATGTGCTTTCTAGAGGTTTATGTGCATTGTCATTATGATTTAGTAAAGTGATGTGTGCTTGTATTTGGGATGTCATCGGTTCAAATTAAAGATTAAAGGAAATGCCCTAATTGTAATTTTAGGTTAAAGATGGGTATTATATGTAATTGATAAAGATTGAATATAAACGGCAAAACTAACGGAAAGTAGAAAAGGACTTGATTAAAATGCATTAAATAGAATAAGGACTAAAATGATAGATTTATTAGTTGAAGGACCAAAACGATATGGTGATGATAGTTTAAGGGCCATTTATGGATTTTAACTCGAATTATAATAATACAGCTATGCAAAAAAGTCATCATATATAAGAGCAATAATAGTCACTTATTATAAGAACTTTAAACAAAAAAGTTATTGCACCTACAAAGCAAAAGAGTACATTTTTCACTTGAAGAGAAATTACCGTATTCCAGTTTGACCTATTCACTTGAAGAGAAATTATGGTATTCCAGTTTGACCTAAAGAGAAATTACAGTCTAAAGTACGTTTTGCACTAGGTCTGAGTTCTCCACATCCTATTGCACATCTAAATTCGGCCCGGTACAACCACCAAACATACCATATATTTCGGAAATTATAGCCCCAAGTCCGTAATATTCAAACTTGAAATGTGACAAAATGGGTAATTATATATCAAAATGTACATTCTATCAATAGAGAAAACTTCATGTCAGGCCGGCCTGACGGGCTGCCCCGTCCGGCCGAGCCCGTTTGGGCACCTTCCCGGTGGAATTTTTTGATGAAATTTTTTGAGCATGTTCCTCATCAAGTCTAGTTTGTCCATACCAAATTTCAGTTCAAAATTCGACCGGGAAGGTCGTCAAATGATTTTTGCAAGTTAACTGGTCCGGAATATGTATTTTCCGGACCAGTTAACTTGCAAAAATCATTTGACGACCTTCCCGATCGAATTTTGAGCTGAAATTTGGTATGGACAAACTAGACTTGATGAGGAACATGCTCAAAAAATTTCATCAAAAAATTCCACCGGGAAGGTGCCCAAACGGGCTCGGCCGGACGGGGCAGCCCGTCAGGCCGACCTGATGAGAAGAGCCCTCCTATCAATAATACATCGTAGTATATATAGTACATACGGAGTGTAATTATCAATACCAAATTAGAAGGAAAAACAACATCATTCACAAGTTAATTATAATGATAGTACGGCATATATAGAATCTAAAATAAAAAAAATGCATATCGTATTCCAAAATACATATAGTTCTAATACAAGTAATTGTTGCTCTTAATAGGAGTAATATATGCTCCACACTACTTTTTCCTAAATAGGACTATATATCCTTCTAATCCTCCCTAAAAATGAGTAAACATTGATTTTCTACCCCTACTATGCCTATTCTAATTAATTAAACTAATTAATTGCTCGTAGTTTCCTTGGTTGGATAGTCCGTTGGTGGTGGGGCAATCCGGTGGTGGTGGAGATGGCGGAGCTCCGGAGTCGGTGGCAGGGGGAATGAGGCAAAGTTTCTCTTGACCTATAAAAAATCGTTGGTCAGTCTTATCCTTGAAAATATACACAAGTAAATAATCTCTTGAATTGTGACAAAATGGGCGATATACTTTGTGCTCGACTTGGCCTGAGACACTAACTTTGTTCGGTCGTGAACTAGGATTCTTAATTCCTTATCAATTGCAAACCATGAGATTCAATTGGTAGGCTTTTTTGAAGATATTTTTAATCTATATACGACAATACCATGGTAAAGTCCATCAAAAGGAAACCAACAATACGATGGGGTGTCATCCCTTTTTTTTGCTAACTTGAAATTGAGTGAATAATAAGAAGAGAAAATAATAAGAAGGGAAAATTAAGTGAATAAGAAGAAAAATAAAAGTCCGTCTTATTGAGTTTTGGGAAAAATATCGGATAGACAAATGAGCAAAACTACAAATTAGTTGAATTAATTGAAAAATGAAAAACAAAATTAGAAAATCAAGAAAAGAAATTGACAGTCTAATTGGACGGAGTATAATTATATTATATTCCAAAACAGATATATTTCATTAACTATGTTTTAAATGCGTATTAAAGCATCAGTCGATCATCAGATTGATCGAAGGGAAACGTGGTAATATACCTAGGTACGATTTTTCTTTTCTTCACGGATGTTGAATATTGCTATTTGTGACATGTTCAAATGATAACATGTACGTAGTACTACGTAACAACAACGAAAATATAATCATACTACGTAACTAAATAACTTTTCACGGTGATAGACGAAAGCTAGCTGCGCTCTAATTTTAAAAATAAAGTAAAAACAAATTATGCATATCGTAGCCTGTGTAGCTTAGTTTGTTTTTTAAACCACCATTTCAGTATTTATATTAACATATGTTGAATATTGTACATACATATGGTTAATCCTTTTTTTTAAAGGCCGGGGGATTTATTCGAAGTAAAGGGGATGATAATCAAGGAGGGCATAAAACTTGGTCTCAATACAAATTAGAAGATATATGGGAATTGAAGATTGTGATTTATTGCACGGAATTTCGGAATATGTACAATTTTATACAAAGTGAAGCAAGTTTGGGTCCTTTCTAAAAGGAGAAAATTGTAGTCAGTAGATCCCGTCCCTTAATTTTTACAATTTTACATGTTTCCTTTAATTTAAGTGTATTCACTTGTATCTGATCTTACATCTAATACAATTGTTCATCCTAAGGGCATTTCCATCAAAAGGTACACTTTGGTGGAAATTGGAAACAATTTATGTCTTGCCGGAATGTGTACATTTCCATGGAAAAGTCCTGGACAAATTTATCATTTATAGGATCAGAGTTGTAAGTTAATTAGAGCCTTATTTTGGTGACTAGGTTTTTTGACTTGTCAACCTATTAGTCAAGACTTTCCCCATCATCAATAGATTACCCTTGTTATGCAAGGGCATTAGCTAGGCTTGAATACTCCGTATTTTAATAAAAAGGGACCTTGAATTGACACTAATGGTGGAATCCAAGATACATTTAACTTCAATTCAACACCATCATTAGTTCAATAACACCATCAACACGTTCCTAATTAAGATGTCAATGTCTTGTTATATATTGTAGAGAAACAAACTTCTTCACCCCTACGGTATTCAAAATCCTTGTACACACTTATATCCTTGCATATATGTTGCGAGACTACGTAGCACACAAGTTGATCCCCGGTGAGAGTCGAATGGACCTAAAAGTAAAAAATAGTCAACACATAACATACAAAGAGATATAGCTAGCTAGTTAAAGTTTAAGCTTTGTTAAGTTTAAGATTGAATACTCCATTACAAAGACATATAGCTTCACAGTTCACACCAATATACGGAGTATTACTAATATAATCCTAGAATCAAGATACACTTACTTCAAAAAGCATCATGAGTTTAGTGATAATATACCACAAAATCGTAGGTGTAACGTCTTCTTTGGACGTGAGCTACAAAACAACTTTCCTGTTCTTGCTTTTAGGATGTGGACCACATGACACGTTTTTGTATAATGGACCAAAACTGACCTTCTTTCACCTATATACAGAATCGTTGGCCACTCGTGTCCTTCAAAATATGTTGTGTAGCACCCCGATCTATATATATATATATATAAATGTTAAAGGAAATTACATGTAGTGTGCTATTATTATAGATAGAATATATCTGTGGAAATGATCTGTACATTATTAATGGGCCCTGAGGCACATGTATTGTAACTCTTGCCTATCCCTATTTAATGGGAGCTTTCTATGCAGTGATAATATGCCAATTCCCTAAAACACGTTATCAGCACTGCTCATAATGGCCACTCTCTCTCTTTTCTCCCGCAGAAGCCAGCTAAAATATTAGCCCATCCCCTGCTTTTATTTTTGGCTTGGTCTCCTGGTGTCCCATCTGCATCTCAGTTGGTACTCAGTCCTCAGCCTACCGTTCAAAAACTACTCGCAGATCCACAGCCGACACATCTGCTCAAAGCTCCGGTTGACAACATCAGCAGCATCGCCTCAGCCATAGACGCCTCTCTCCACCGGCTCTTCCGACACGGTAGTTCACCCTTCCAGTGCTAAACCGACACCTCTGTTCTTTGAGAAGGTAAGTCTTGCTGAGCCTGGATTCTTATGTATTTGATTATTTTCAACCGATATACATGGAAGAGAAATAGTATATTTGTCTTGTTTGCAATTCAATTGACAAACTGAATCATTCAAACTTTAGCAATAATAATGACTAAGTAAAAGTATGAACATGTTTATATATATATATTCAAACTATAAGAAGTATGCTCTATGGTTGCCCAACCATTGGGATCCTCCATATCAGAAAATTATAGCTATATTTTCTCTAAAAGAAAATTAAGAAGATTGAAACTAAAAGGATAAATTCTAAAGGATGTTCATATTAATATATAGCAAGCCAGAGGATCTAAATGGATTGTTATTTATTTTGGACAGCATGCATGGCTTCCACAGACTAATCTGTTTTCTTAGCAAAGTATTTTTTTCTTCTGATTAATCAATTGGAGTAAGCCGTACAAATGATTTGGGAAAACCGATGCATTCAGAACTTGACCCCCTAAGTTATCTTTCTAACCCGTATCATTTTTCAAAACAACTCATGTTAAGTCACTCCTAGCGTGTTCTGCAATTCTGCTGCATAAATTATTCCAATTTAGTGTTTCAAGTATAGTATATTAGTATTGGAGGTCCTAGCAATCCTACTAAAGAATCAAAACATTTATAGACCTTATGACATCATGCTTGTGTAAATATTCTTTTCCCTAGTGAAGTATACGTATCTTACTTGCTAGGAATGTTATATCAGTTTTATTGCAATATACCACAGTTGTTTTTTTTTTCTTCGTATATATTTAGGCATTGGTATTTACTACATTGTTGAAATCAATTATTTCATTATATGTTAGGATTGTTTTATTTTTTAAGGAAGACTTTCCTAGGAATCCAGCCCACTTTGCAAAACTATACATTATTAGACTATAATATAGTTTATTGTAAAGACATATACTCTATTCCCACAAACCATGATATAGAATAGTTAATTTAGGTTACCTTGACGTAACACAAGTAATCACTGCAATGAACTCCCCCTGCGGGAAATACCATTTGTTTTATAAAAAGCAATCTGGTTGAATCTATAAATTTAGGATGTTAACGAGGAATCGCCTCTCAAATTATCATTTTGAGAAATAATCACTTGATATCTGTAAAATATGGTATAATATGTATTTGGATGTAAATACCGTAATAACATGAATATACCTATTTTCTTATATATATGATTACCTTATTTTACATATCTGGACATGCATATCAGTTGTCAGTTCATCCCATGTATTTTTGCAGATTTTAATACATGCTTTATTATTGGTTAACATTATAATCAATACAAATGATCATAACAAATGTATTACCACACTCCTCAGTTACGAAAAATACTTACTTTTACTTCCTAGAAATTTTGTTCCATATTAAATGGAATTCCCAACTATTTTTTTTTCAAATCAAATCTTATTTATTTTAAGTTGGCAGAAATTTGACTTAAAACTTAAGTTACGAAAAAAAAAAATTGTTACTATCTACAATTATGTTTCCTTTTAGACTCCACTTAAAATTTACCAAGTGTATAACAAGTAATAATATCATATTTAACTAATTGGATTTCATGAACCTACTAATAATTTGGCATTATTTGTGAATATTATTGAACCTTCATGTCTCATGAAACATTGTGGGCATCCTCATGCATGTTCGAAAATAAATACACAGCATGGATTAATGTACCTACTTTTAGACTTTTCCTATGAGTGTGACCTAGGATTGTACAATCAATTACTATTAGTTATTTTCATTAAATTTCTCAGACTTTGATTGATACGCGTGGAGCATATATGGTGAGTTGTATAGGTGATAATTGTACCATATTTGAATTACTCCGTAATAATTGACATTTAATGCCCATGCATAGTCATAGCTCATGACATCTCATTTAATGCTAATGTTTTGCACAAGTACAAATTATTGTACTTATTTGGATTTTTTTTTAGGAAAGGACAAATTTATATATTGTGGGGTTAATACACCACGAGTCGTTTTAAATATTTCAAAGTATCATCTATTACTATTATTGCAATGATTGGCGCTACTATAATTTATATTTTGTTTATGCCACACACCAAATGTAATTCTTTTAATTCTTCTTTTTTCCTTTCCATGACAATATGTGTATAACAGGACATTATTTATTTTATTGCTATAGTCAACTAGTATTTAAATAAATATGATAGATATATGATGACGTACTTGTTAGATTCCCTCAAACATTCTCACTATATATTTCAAATTTCTTCGCATAACTCTATTAATTTTTTTTTAAATTGTCAAAGTCATTTAATTATATTATATGTAAAAGTAGTTTACTTATTTTCTTTAAATAAACGTATCAATCTCCTATATTATATAAAAAGTACCTTTCAAATTATAATTACGTTTTCAAACGTATATGCTTCCTTTATAAAACAGTTTCAAATTATAAACATATTTTTTTATGTATAGCTAAATGGATATTACATATCTTCTATCCCTCAAGGTCAGCGAATTTATTCGAATTATATAATATATGATCACATTAAACATACTCTACCTAATGATTACCAAATCCACCATTTTTTAACCATTTTCCAATAACATCAACAAATTCTAATTCAATTACAGTTGGAAATTTTTATAATAATAATAATAATAACTTTTGAATACATAAAAGTACTCGAAGTATTCTGTATACCTTTGACAATAACAATAAATTAACTCTTTTTTTTTTTCAATTAAGATGGCTGACCAACCTCGACCCGAGTTTGACATTTTGGACTCAGAAGGACTTGAGTACCATCGATGGGTTTCTGATGTAGAAACCACATTTGTGGCCAAAGACTACTCCACCACCCTCCTTGACCCCGAAAATTGCAAAGACAACGCACCGTCTGAAAAAATGAAAGCTGCCGCCTTAATGTTTCTTAGGCGTCACATTGACCCAAGCCTACGTTGGGAGTATCTCCAATTGAAAACTCCCAAAGAATTATGGGATGCCCTCCAAGGGCGTTTTGGGAACATACATGATACACTGCTCCCAGAACTCACTGTGCAGTGGAACGAAATTCGCTTGGTTGACTACAAAAAAGTCAATGATTTCAATAAGGATATGCTCCGTCTAGAGGCACGACTCAACTTTTGTCAAAAAATAATCACAGAAGGTGAAATGATTGAAAAGACACTTTCCACATTTCCTACCTCAGCACTTATACTGGCAAACCAGTATAGGTTGGAGTATAATAACAAAAGAATAACGACATACAATCAATTAATTGTCCAACTCCAAGTGGCAGAAAGGCATAATGAAGTTCTTTTGAACAATAATGCTAGACCAATCGGGACAAAGAAAATTCCCGAGGCCCACTATGGCAAAATGAGTGGTGGAAAGAACCCCAATGTAAAGGGGGAAGGACGTACCAATCCTTACTCCCATGGACAAAATTCCCAACGTGGGAGAGGTCGTGGCAATCGCGGTGGTCGCGGTGGTCGCGGCGGTCGTGGCATGGCCCGAGGAGGATCTTCCAAAGTATGGAGAAGAGATGTGGGTGCTGGCTCTAATAGTCAAGGAAGTAAGGCACCCACAAAACCTCCGGTCAAACGGGAAAGAGCTGGTGAAGAACCTTGTTTCAGATGCGGAACTCCTGGACATTGGTCCAAGCATTGCCAAGCTAGCAATAAAGTCGCAGCCGCATACAAGAAGTACCGAGAGTCTAAGGAACAGGAATCTCACTGTGTTATTGAAGAAGAAAATGAGGTTGATGCCAACCTCACTATTGCTGACTTTAGTGGAAAGAAAAACACCGCTCAGTCAATTGATGCACCAGACTTTGATTAAGTCACTTTAATTCCTTTGCTGTTTTATGATGGACATTTATGAATTTCCGAACTCATGTTTTCGTATTTGTTTTATGTTGGACGTTGTGTGCTTGTCGTTTTATTTAAAATAATTGGATTGGTTCTGAAATCCAAATGATATTCAAAATAAAATCATTTTCAGTTCAAATTTATATTATACTTCTTCATTATACAGGGATGACACGAGGAGAACTTGAGTGTTTAGTAGATAGTGGGACAACTCACACTATCTTAAGAAATAGACAACTCTTTACTGAACTCCTAGCCTATAATTCACCCGTGATAACAATGATTGGTTCATCACATGTAATACAGGGGCGAGGTACTGCTAGTTTTATGCTACCAAATGGTACAAACTTTTATATCACAGACGCTCTATATGCACCTAGAGCCACACGAACCTTGTTAAGTTTCAAAGATATTCGTGATAATGGTTTTCATGTGGAAACTCACTGTGAGAATGGAGTGGAGTACTTATACATTACATCTAATGAATGCGGAAGGAAACGCATTCTAGAAAAATTAATGAGTCAATCTAGTGGACTTTATGTCACTAGTATTCGGTTCTTTGAATCCTATAGTACCTCTAATAATGAAATATGGGACATAGACTCATACAGGCTTTGGCACGATCGCCTTGGGCACCCAGGTCGTGACATGATGATTCGTATATTAAAAAATTCACATGGACATCCTTTCTTTCAATCAAAACATGTGAAGAGGTCAAAATCTAACACACTAAAACGTGTTGATCCTATGATCACTCAAAAAAAAAGGGGATCTTCTAAAGTACCAGAAGAATTATCCCATGCCTCCTTCACGATGTCCAAATTACAAAAATCATTTTGTAAAGCCTGCTCTTTAGCAAAAACAGGATCAAAACCATCCTATGTTAAAGATACAAAAGTAAACATTCCATTCTTACAAAGAATACAAGGAGATATTTGTGGGCCCATCCATCCAGAATGCGGGCCGTTTAGATATTTCATGGTTCTGGTGGATGCCTCGACCCGTTGGTCTCACGTTGCTTTATTGTCCACAAGGAACGCTGCATTTGCAAATCTCCTAGCACAGATAATTCGTTTAAGGGCTCACCACCCTGATAATCCTATTAAGTCTATAAGACTCGATAATGCTGGAGAGTTTACATCAAAAACTTTTGATGACTATTGCATGTCTATCGGGATCGATGTAGAACACCCTGTTCCCCATGTACATACACAAAATGGTCTTGCAGAAGCTACTATCAAAAGATTACAAATGATAGCTAGAGCGTTGGTTATGCGCACCAACTTACCAATATCTGCATGGGGGTATGCAATATTGCATGCAACATTACTTATTCGCTTTAGACCCACTGCGAACCAACCATTTTCTGCGTACCAGTTGGTAACTGGATATGAGCCTGACATTTCACATCTACGCATATTTGGTTCTGCAGTATATGTGCCAATTGCGCCTCCACAGCGCACTAAAATGGGTCCTCAAAGACGATTAGGTATATATGTTGGCTATGAATCTCCAACTATAATCCGTTATTTGGAACCTTTGACAGGTGATCTCTTTACCGCAAGATTTGCGGATTGTCACTTTGATGAGACAACATTCCCGTCGTTAGGGGGAGATGGGAAAAAGGAGTTTCCAAAAGAACGACAGGAATTATCCTGGTGCGTTCCCACCTTGTCTCATTTTGATCCCCGCACTTCACAATGTGAAGGAGAAGTCAAAAGAATAATCGATCTCCAAAATGTAGCAGACTCTATGCCTGATGCATTTACGGACATCGCTAAAGTGACTAGATCACACATACCTGCTGCAAATGTGCCTGCAAGGTTAGATATTCCCACAAAGGGTAATAGTGCCATAGTAGGAGGCACCACAACTACACTTAGTGGAGGTGTGGTTGAGGCCGTGACTCCTCAAAGGAAGAGAGGAAGACCACTTGGTTCGATTGATACTCGCCCAAGGAAGAGGAAGACGAGTAAGGCACCACTTGATCCATTGATCATCGATGTACATCATCCTTCCCATGAGATTATCTCTGATTATAGTTATGTCCACGAATCATTACTGGAGGACGCTCCGATGTTATATATGGTTCTAGAAAATAAAGAAATCTCAATGGATAGTGAAAATGCACATGTGCTAATGGAAAGATCTTTCATACACATCGATGATATATTTGCGTTTACTGTTGCTCAAGAAATTATAGAGCACGATAATATCGAACCACGCTCTGTTGCAGAATGTCAACTAAGGGCAGATTGGCCTAAATGGAAAGAAGCAATCCAGGCAGAATTAGATTCTCTGACAAAAAGGCAGGTATTTGGTCCGGTAGTGCTAACCCCACCAAGTGTAAAGCCTGTGGGACATAAATGGGTATTTGTCAGAAAGCGTAATGAGAAGAATGAAGTCTTAAGATACAAGGCTCGCCTTGTGGCGCAAGGTTTCTCACAACGCCCTGGGATTGACTACGAGGAGACATACTCTCCTGTAATGGACGCTATAACGTTCCGATACTTAGTGAGCTTAGCAGTTTCCGAAGGACTAGAAATGCAATTAATGGATGTAGTTACTGCATATCTCTATGGGGATCTTGACTCAGAGATATATATGAAAGTACCTGATGGACTCTCACTGCCCAAATCAAGTGACTCTAAACCACGGAGTGCATTTGCAATAAAATTGAAACGCTCACTTTACGGATTAAAACAATCCGGACGAATGTGGTACAACCGTTTAAGTGACTACCTGATTACAAAGGGATATAAGAACGACGAACTATGCCCCTGTGTATTCATTAAGACAACGAGTTCCGGATTTGCAATTGTAGCTGTATATGTCGATGACATGAACATAATTGGCACTCTTGATGAAATAAGAGAAACCGCAAGTTACCTAAAATCCGAATTTGAGATGAAGGACCTTGGAAAAACTCAATTTTGTCTAGGACTAGAGCTAGAACATCGAGTTTGTGGAGTATTAATCCACCAGTGTGCATATATCCAAAAGATGCTCAGGCGATTTAATATGGATAAAGCGCACCCTGTTAGCACTCCCATGGTTAGTCGAAGTTTGGATCCTAAAAAGGACCCATTTCGTCCAAAGGAAGATGACGAAGATGCATTAGGAGCTGAAATTCCTTACCTAAGTGCAATAGGCGCATTATTGTACTTAGCACAATGCACTCGACCAGATATAGCATTCTCAGTGAACTTATTGGCTAGATTTAGCTCCGCGCCAACGCAACGTCACTGGAACGGTATCAAAAATATTTTCCGATACCTAAAAGGAACTAGTGATTTGGGACTATTCTTTCCCTATAAAGAGACAAAAGAAAATACCAAAGACAAAATAATCACCCCCCTTAAGAATATTCCAAATGATGTCTTGGTAGGTTTTGCTGATGCTGGGTATCTCTCTGACCCTCACAAAGGCCGCTCTCAAACCGGATACGTTTTCACAATTGGTAACACGGCAATATCTTGGAGATCAACTAAACAAACCCTTGTGGCTACCTCCTCGAATCACTCCGAGATTATTGCTCTACACGAGGCGGTTCGTGAATGTATATGGTTAAGAGCTATCATTACACATATTCGAGGAACTAGTGGCTTAAAATCTACCACTGACGAGCCTACTTGCATTTATGAGGATAATGCAGCTTGTATCGAACAAATGAAGTTAGGATATATCAAGGGTGATAACACAAAACACATATCTCCCAAATTCTTCTACAATCAGCAACAACAGGCCTTGCTCAAAATTCAAGTGAATCAAATAAGCTCAGAAGAAAATGTAGCAGACTTGTTTACTAAGTCATTACCCAAGGCCACTTTTGAAAAACACGTAAAGAGCATAGGAATGCGAAAGCTTTCTGAGCTCCCCTGATAAATGTAAATATCAGGGGGAGGTGTAGACATGAGGGGGAGTCTTTCACCTACCCACCATTACGTTATACTCTTTTCCTTAAACCAAGGTTTATTTTTCCCACTGGGTTTTGTTACTTGGTAAGGTTTTTAATGAGATAACGATACTTATTGATCAAGGTAAGGATCAAATGAAGAAAGACTCGAAGGACGAAGTCTAACACAACTTTCATATTGTTACATCTTTTCTTCACAAACAAGGTTATTTTTCCCACAGGGTTTATTGTTACTTGTTGAAACTCCTACAAGGCATCATGGCGAATATCATTCTATCTACAACTCAGCACAAGGGGGAGTGTTAAAGGAAATTACATGTAGTGTGCTATTATTATAGATAGAATATATCTGTGGAAATGATCTGTACATTATTAATGGGCCCTGAGGCACATGTATTGTAACTCTTGCCTATCCCTATTTAATGGGAGCTTTCTATGCAGTGATAATATGCCAATTCCCTAAAACAATAAAAGCATTATTAGTTACATTATTTAAGAACCATGAACAAAAAAAGTTATTCACCTACAAAGCAAAAAACACGAGATTGGCAGAATTTGACCAAAATTCATAGAAAATTAAGGATGTTTTCTTTTGGACTGAAATTTGCTGGTCAGGTCTGGTCTGGTTTGAACTGGTCTGGTCTGGTCTGGTAAACGTCTGGTCTCTGTGTATTTTATAACTGTCCAAGTCTGGTCTGGTCTATTTAAGTCTGGTCTGGGACTGAAAATAGTCCAAAAGAAAACATCCTAAACATAGATATGCCTAATCCGTGCAAAAAATATTTTGACATGAGCTATTTCGTACGAAATCAACGCTTCATCCATGTCAATCATGTAATTTTTATGTAGATCACAACATAAAGAGAATTACAGTCTAAAATACATTTTTCACTAGGCTTGATCGAGTTCGCCACACCCTATTGCACATCTAAATTCGGCCCACATGAAATTAGGGTCAAATATGAAATTAGGATACAACCACCAAACATGAAATTAGGGTCAAATATGTATTCCAACTTGAAATGTGACAATATGGATGGGTGCTATACTGCTATACCGGAGTGTACGTAATTATATACCGGAGTACAGTATCGATACCAAAATTAGAAGGAAAAACAGCACAATTCATAATTTAATAACATTACGTAA